TTATATTATTATATCGACTTACTAAGCCATTAATTTGTATACTGAATTTGTATAAATACTTAACAAGTATCTATATTACCTTATTTTGTATACCTTAATTACAATTACGCTATGCAATATAATTATGAAACCGGGAAAGTCACTCAGCCTATATAAGTAGGTGTCGATAGTGTCGACTGACGAATGTAGTTCGTCATTGGGTATATGTTGTAGGTCAGTGCAGTATAATATGTATTAACTTTTAATTAGATATGAGGTACTTATTACCTCTATAATTTCATACGACAAACGATTCTGTCGCCCTATATTTCTAAGGATATTTTATTAAATATATTTGTCTCTATATTGCTAATTTATTTTTCTGTTAGTTGTACGGTAGGTCGAACTAATTTTTGCCAACTAATCGAATTCATTATGTAATTATTATTTTAATACTGTTTCTAAAATAATATTATATTACTACCTATATAATATAGTTGCTATTATTGCAGTATATTAGGTCACTGTGCCGACCTACCGTAGAATGGTGTGGTTAGGTTCGTGGTATAAATAGCTTAAAATTAGTCTAAATATTTTTAAAACGTGATGTGTATTATACAAGTTGGTAGTTAAAAATAATAATATATTTTTTTGCGTAGTACATTAGAGTACATATGTAAAATAATAACACATTCTATACATAATATAGTTATATACACAATTACATTTTCAAAACATTTAGATTAATTTTAGGCTATTACAAGTACTGTCCAATATTTTATAACTTTATAGCAGCGGTTCCTAACTTTTTTAGTAATGTGGATCACTCTGCCAAATATTATGTAGAAACAACTTTGGTGCCCACTTACCTAATATTCAGGTATAAAATATACACACACACACACACACACACACACACAAATAAGACAATAGAAGAAAATATATAGAGGTGTATAAAATCCCAATATATAAAAATTTCGATGTTGATGTCGATTAAAATTTGCTGACCCTGGGCGTAGACTCTCGACCAACTTCCGCGGCCCAGTACCACATTGCCCGAGGCCCACAAGTGGGTTGGGAACCACTGTAGTTTATAGCATATTAAAATTATAACACTATTGTTAAAAAATAGTAAAATAAATTACTAAAATAATTTATTGCGATATATTTATATGATAATAGGCTCACAGACGGTCTACGCGCAGAATCGTTTATCATATGCAATGATTTATCATAGCAAATATGGTGAATTATAATTTAACATTCCATTACTGTGACCTAGCCAATTTACGAGGTACACTCAACTCCTACTGTACAGCAGAGCAATTACTTACTTCCCCCTCTTTTTTTTATTGCTTTTTCCGATTTTGTTGAAAACTGAAAAGTTTTTTCTTTTGACCCCCCAATATGACGTATAAACTGGATCCAATTTTCTGCAAGTAACCACTCTCAAAGTTGAAGATACAAACTTTATTTTTACTGCTTCTTAAGTGCTGGTAGATACAAAAAAAAACCATACATGGTATACAACTGACACAATCTAAATTTATAGAATTGTAACATTTCTGACCAACACAAATCTTTGACCGAAAGAAGTATACTTATAACTATTAAATTTAGCATTTTCATTTGTTATGTTTTTCCTAGTTAATTTTGTATTATTCATAATCAGGGCTATGAACTTAATGCACTAAGAAACCTTAAAAAAATACATTAAAAATGTCAAAAAAATGCAATAAAATATGTATAATATGTATAACGGGTGCCCACTTGAAATTCTACCAGACTAAAAACACACGTGTTTACAAAAACCAAGAGTACCCTTCCCCACAATTATTAAGAACCACCCAATGGCCTAAGCTAGTACGGGTTAATTAATAATAAATAAATGATCACCCAACATCCAACCACCCGTCTACCTACCTAATTGTGTATGTGTTGCTGAAGTAACACATGGACTATATGATCGCCGCCACTTACGGTTTTAATTGATTGAGACGATTGTATGTTTTTTTTATTTTTCAAACACAATATCGGTATTTGCTGTTTTTCATTGAAATTATTTTACGAGTACAAATTAAAAATTCAAAGCGGTCACTGTAGTGGTACATAATGAAAGTTTCCAATAGTCCTTTTAATTATACAAGTCGTCGCTGCTGCAGTAGGCGTAGCACCGTTATCTCGAACAGAAAGTATTGTAATTGTGTACCTTATAATATGTGAGGGCAACTGGTAAATTTTTTAAACGCCTAAAACAGCAGCTGGGGAAACTACAGGTCAACTCCCGATGGATTACGTCGCTCGATATAATATAAGTGTACAAAAATATTACAATACGCACTCGGTTCGGTTTATGTGTACCTATATATGGCCATATATATATATATACTGCTAGTGTGCATAAGACAAAAATCCCTTTTGCGATAATTCCCGAGTGTAAGTAACAAGTATACCTATGCGTATTTTTATTATTATTATAGACGTGCGTCAGCTGTTGCGTATCTCGCGCGGTGTCGGCGTCGGCGATAAATCTCTCGTCGCATTTCCAATGCAGATTAGCCGACATTCCGGGGATTACAGCATTATACCTACTGCTTCAGTAGTCGCCCGCGGCGAGAGACGAATCGTTCACGCACGCGCGTAAAATAAAATAAATTATTTTATTGGATTTTTTTTTTTTTTTTCGTTTGTTCGCCGCCTCGTGTCACCCGCGAGCCTGTAGAGATTTCTCACAGTTTTTGCGCCGCGACCGGGACCGTCCGCTTCGATGTCATACATATAGGTATAATAATATTATATACCTAGGTATTATATAATATACCTGTACAATACACCTCGCTTTTGCATATTATACTTTATGTACAATAGTATAGTAAGCGCATATTATAATACCTACGCGAAAACACTGCCGCGGGGGTCCTCCTGCCGTCGTCGCACAGGAGAAGATTGTTTTCCCCGCACAATCGGTCGGCATAAATCCGACGACCGTGTGTAACGCTCATAGGACGACTACGACGACGTATTTACTTCTCTGTGCGTGCCACCGACAGACCACTACGCACGACCCCGGAGCACCTCCCCGCCACACACGCTTTTGTTCGCAGGAGCTTTTGCTCCCCCCCCCCCCCCCCCGAATCGGCGGGTTGATATGTACGCTTCGGTACATTATTTATAATATAATATAATATAATATAATATAATACGACCATTGTTGCCAAGTGCGGCGGCGCGGTCGTTAAACTGTCACCGCCGTCCGGATAGACGTCCGCGGCGATCGACGCCAATGAATTCGTCCTCGCAATATATACTGATGCTGATGCTGTTGGAGGATAATATATAAACGCATAGAATTACATAAACAATAAAATGCATAAAATGTACTTTTAATGCATATTTTGCATATTATAACATTATACGCTCAAGACTCAAGAGTATACGAGCAGATGATGCGTCTGCGTTATACTGCTGTTGCGGTGGCGTGCGTAGTGAATAACAATATATAGGTATAGGCCCCACGAAAAGAGTAGGAATGACATAGCAGCGCATGAAATATTATGACAGCTGTTCCAAAGTGCCATAATTCAAAGAAAAAAAATGGTCTCTGGAGACCGTTATTTGTGCAGTAATTTAATATTTTCAATTACAGAATGGAATTTTACTGTAGTCAACACCTTAAGCATTGTGTATAATATGAAAGACTCGAAGAAAAATATGCAGTTGACCTTTTTTAGAACTTCAAAAACGATATTACATTTTTACTTTAAATTCCCTAAAGCATTTTTTTTTCAATGAAATAGAAATTTGTATAGGTAATTTAGAGTTACGCGGCAGCTAAGTTGAATATTTATTTCTTAGTCAATACTCAATTTAATATTATAAATTATTCAGTTAATTCGCCATATCATATATACCGTTGTACAAAGCATTATGATAAAACCATTAAAATTTATACATGAATTAAATCTTTAATAATAAGTAGGCGCAATAGAAAAAAAAACAACTATTTTGATATGAAAAAAGTCAAACGATAATATAGTGATGACTATCGGGTATTTGATATTTTGGTTTAATAAAATATAGCTGTATGCCTGTATTGTTTTTAAAATATTATTCTTTATATAAAGGGGGTAGGTATTTCGATATATTATGACGATATTATTCTCGGTAGTCTCAAAGAATAAGTGTAATAGTCGATTTTACAACTATTATTATGTGACAACCGCCATCTTTAGTGCCACCTTAAAAAAAACGTATATAAATTATGAATAAAAATAATATTAAAATTGAAAATGTTTGAGATTTTTTAGTTTTTGTTTGTCCTTTATTTATTTAGCTGCACTTGCAGACATGCCTAAAAAAGAGTAATATTTTATAAACTTTAGATAAGTATTTTATGGATAATATAGTACCCTATATACTATATAGACGTTAAATAACTGATCATGTGTGATCGGGTATTCATGTGTGTGTGACTGTTTTATTGATCATAATAGTGTTTGGGACAGGGACGTTTGCACGTATGTGCGTCAATGCATCGGACATTCGGACTTATACTAAATCTTACTAATACTAAAAAAAAAAAAAGAAAAAGGTTGTAGTATAGTTATATAATATACTATTTGCAAGTACGTTTTAGGGTTTGCATAATATATAAGGCAGTCAAATAAGATTTGATTTACCTGTGTTCATTTACTCGTGATTAAATCGCAATAGTGAAATAATTAAAATTGTTGTAATTGCTTAGGCGCTGTCATTTTAGTGCCACAGTGGTTAATGGACATCCGTGTACTTTGCCATACATATAATATATTTATATTATTGTGCAGCATAGGCGTGCGCAGCCTTTGTCCGCAGGGGGGGCCTCTTCAAAATTTCTGAACCAAATATTCATGTACTAATGACTACTAGACACTAGAATAATCATTAAATATTATTATAAATTATTATTTATTATTACAAAATATAGTATAATAAAAAAATCACACACAATTTATACATAAGATCCTTATTTACATAGCTATTTACAACTCCATCCTTCTGTCCACGGGAGTAAGGTTTTTGAATGTATCAATTACATCATCAATTTTTATATTATAAGCAAGTTCTTGCTCAATGAATACAGTAAGCAGGCCGTCCAATCGATCCTGTGTCATGGTACTGCGTAACTTGGTTTTCACAATACTAAGTTTAGAAAATGAACGCTCGCAAGCACAGCTCGTTACTGGTATAATCATAAATGTTTTCAATGCTTTAATAACATTACAAAATATAGTTTCCCTTCCACAGTTGGATTGTGTAAGCCAATTTATCCAATCACCACATTTATTCTTCTCGCCTTTCGGTATATTATCTGTATGTTTAAGAAGATTAATTTCTGTTTTCAACATATCAGAATTTAAATCAAATGCTGTGGACAAGACTGAAATGTCGTTGCTATTGCTACCAGTGGCGTCTGCAGGGGGGGGGGGGGCTAAAGGGCTGAAGTCCCCCCCATTGACCGTATTATTGTTACTTTTTCAAAAAAATATTAATCAAGTTAGACTGTCAACTATAGTAAGCAAGAAGTAAATTTCATATATGTCTTACCAGAATGAATTCATTTTTGAAAGAACATTGTATTTGCATACCAATTTTCATAAATTATCTGTAATTTTTAGGTAAAAGTATATGAACTACTTATATGAAAGACCTTGTATTAAATTGTCTAGCCTTAGCTATATATATTTTATATTTTATAAGTTTTGAACTACAAATTAATTGTTTGCTTATAAAAAATAACCATATTGCCTATGCAGTGTTTGAAGTATGAAATATTTCACAAAAATAATAATTATTATTATTATTATAATTATTCAAATACAATCCAAGTGAAGACGGTAGGTATAACCAAACATTTAAATAAATTTTCATTTTTTTTTCTCCAATTATTTTTAAAAGCACTGAGAATTTTCAATTTTGACCTCCTAAAAGTACCAACTAGATCCAATTTGCTTCCAAAAACATACATCGAAGCTTATGATCAGAGCATTTTTTTCTACCAGAAAATTTGAAAATTTACAAACATTTTAAAATACCTCAAATAAACGTCTGAAATTATTAGACTAGACAAAATAAAAATGTAACTAATTTTCAAGCCCCCCCCCATTGAAAAATCCTGCGGACGCCACTGTTTAAAACTAATAAATTTCCAATGCTTTGAATCATATTCATTGTTTCTTGGTTAAATCTAATATTAATTCCACTAATAATATGGTCCAATGTTGAATAGTATACAGAAACCTTCATTTCTTCTTCTTTTGAAGACATATAGTGCTGTGTACTACTCAAGCAGTCAATTTTGGTTGACACTTTTCTTTTTTTCAGTTGTGGAATTTCAATATCATAATTTTTACACATTAGAATGGTTTTATGATAAATATCTGTGAAATCGTCTTCAGTATTTCTCATAGAAACAAGTAATTTTTTTAATGACTCAACGATTTCTACAGCAGTTAATAAGTTTATGTTGGGTGACTGTAAAAAAGCACTTGTTTTTAATATTGACGAAAGAATAGGATCTAACATCAACATGGCAAAGATAAATTCAAACGTTTTCATCTGATGGAGAATTCCCTTGCCTTTTGCTCGAACATCTGATTGTTTTGTATTATCAATAATTTCTTCAATTGCTGCTAATATTGACGAATAATTTTCTTTTACTGCACTAATAGCTTCTGAGCGGCAAGCCCACCTTAGTAATAGTAGTAGAAATTGATTTTAAAGTTTTTAACTTTGTACTTTCTAGTATTGTATAGATTATATATTAAAGAAAATGCCAGAGGCCGCAGGGGTGGCCGCGGCCTACCCGCCCCCCCCCCCCCCCGTGCGCACGCCTATGTTGTGCAGTTACATATTATAGGTACTTGGCATGTAACCCGAAACGCATCGATGACTGTTTTAAATAATAATATAATATTACTATAATATAATGTCGTATGTATGTATTGTGCACTTGTGTGTATTGTAAATTGTAATATGTATATTATACATAGGACTAGTCAGTGACCATAATATTATTATTATTTATTATATTATAACGTCATTGTTGACCAGTGGCCTACTGAACTAAATAATATCATGTGTCGTGTGTGCAGTGTGTAAAAAAATATAATCGATTAACCACGATTTGTAACGAATACAATAATTTGTACAAAGTATACGATCGATTTATTATCAATACAACGGAGATCGACGTAATAGAATAATAGAATTTAAGTCACTATAGCACGAGTGTGGCACAGCATATTTTGTTCTCCATAATAATATGTTGAAACTCAGCCTGGTCGGTTTAATGATTCAAATACTTACAAAACTATAAGTATTAATTATTCTATCCCAAAGTTTGTTAGAAATCGTATGGCGATCAGACCTTAAAAATATTTACACGGAATAACTCTGTAAGTATAAAATATATTGACCGCTGTGTGACAGAAACCTTCACAAGGACAATACCCTGGTAAAAGGCTTTACATGTATAAGGCTAAATGGGCTACCAACAGCCCGCGATTATGCCCTAACAAGAAATAAGAATAGTATAGGCTTTAATTTTAAAACAACTGCTCATGTGAATATTGTATTTAAATATTTTTTTTTACTTATTTTGTTGGTTGCCTATTAGCAATGTATAATGAAAAACTATTCAATCGCATATTATAGTGTACGTTATATATCCAGGATATTATATCTGTGTCTGGAGCTTCTATATATAGAATCAACCTAATTGTAGCGCACTGGTTGACCGTCATAGATTTTTACCAGTTACAGCGCGAAAAGAAACATTTAAATTACCCATATTATTTAATTTTGAAAAGGCAAATTATAGATATCTGCATTCGAAATTGTAATAATTGTAATCGTAAGGTGACAATTTGTCCCAAATGGCTTATCAAAATTGTTGATCAGAAATAAAGCCTGATAAACGTACATCAGCAGCGTACCAACCTATGTGCAATACTTAAGTCTTATAGTGTTCATACAATACGCATCCAGACGGTCAAGTATTTATAATGTAAATTATACACAGGACGGCGGAAAAAATCAACACTTTAATATGGACGTTACTCACTTGGTAATGTGCAGTGAGTAAAATATGTACAAAACTGTCCAAATACGTGAGACCAACACCATCTATACCTGTCCTCCAATTGCGTATTTAATTTCTATATTTTTACTCTCTTGTGCAATATAATATATGTGCATATTGTAATTATTTGTAATATCATTATAATTATCGTTGACAAAAAAAAAGTAACGACAGCGTGGATGATGGTACGTTTCACGAAATCATTAGGATTTTATTTTTTAAATGTCGAGCTCGGAGTTCGGACTCGTTGGATACTACATTGGTAACGAAAAAAAAATAATAAAAAAATTAATACGTATTATTATATAATACCACGCCGAGACGACAGGAGTATTGCGTGTTTGAGACGCTACAGGGTCTCGGATTTCCGAAATCAAACTGTATAAGTGACTGCAAAGTCTGAATACACGCGATGAACCATAAATATTTTTGGGAACAAAATAATTTATGCGTGTGTGCCACGTTTCCGTCCAAGTTCGAGCCGATCGTTGTAATTTACGTTAGAAAACCCGAGTGATTTAATCTCCACTGATATTATATTATAGTAGGATGGTATCGTAGAGTTAGATTCGTATTTCGTACTATTATATTGTCGGTACCTATAAGAGTTTATGAGTAAGTACCTATGAAATGTTTAATGAGGTATAGTTTTGAAAGGTTATCTTAGTTACCTACTAATATTAATTATCGATATCACCTAGGTATGATATTACCACTAATAAAAAAAAAACCGAAATGTTTTATTTGTTTAGCATGGTACTTAATGCCAAAAAAAATATTTAAAAACAATAAAATGTAGTTACATATAAGGAAAAAACTTCTATAAATAATATAATATAATGGTATATTTTAAACGAAAAAGGTTTTTTTTTGTGTGTACAAAACTACAGATTTATAAAATAATCAAAATCTCAGAGTTAAAATAATATAATATATTCGTGTTAGTCTTTACCTATAAGTTAATCATCCAACTTTTAGGTAAATATTTAATATTTTATGAGACGGAATAAGTCTTGCCGCGAGTAACTACTAATTAGTAAGTATAGTAAGTTAGTGTGTGAGTATAAGTGATGCAATGCAGTTTTAACAACTAAATTTACATTTTCAATGGTTATTTAAAAAATAAAAATTCTATGAGGTTCTAAAAATATGATCATAAGATATATAGAATAAATTATACATAGATAAAAACTAGCGGCTTTGAATGGATTTATTTTTACAATTTTATTAACTAACTTTTATTTATTTATTTTACTCATTAATTAAAAATTGTATATTAACTTGTTTATTCAGCGTCGGAAGCGTTACACTTCTATACAATTATTTTTATGATAATTATGATAATATTAATCGAACAAATTCCATGACGTTAATACATTTTTATAGTTATGGACAAAGTAGCTGTATTTATTTATATTTAGAAATATAGTTATCATTTATGGCGTTGGTTAATTATATACATCATACACGCCATCAACTACTTGATGCTAAATACCGTGTGAATGAAATGAATGTTTTATTTTCCGATTTGTTTAATTTACTTGAACTGAAAAATATCAAATTTTGAATAGGTAGGTATCTTAGAACTTAGAAAACGATATTCGTGGGTTTTGATTTAAATTTTAAACCAATCTACGATGCTTCGAGACTAACCGGTATACCTATATAATATATTTGAATCAAATTGAATGGATGAGACGAAATAGTTTGTACAAACATAGTAGAACGATAAACCCTCCCTGGTTCCTATATGCAATACATTTTGTAAATTTTTTTTAGTTATTTCATCTTTATTTAATTATGATTTTTGTAAATAATAATAATTGTGGACACGTTTACTGGATTCGATGAAAACCGAGATGAAATGCCAAATGGGTTATATACTTATATACAATGTTACAATATGACATCATGATTTATGACATTACGGTGACACAAATATTCGTGAATCCGACAAGTATATTAGGTTGTAGGTATGCAATTAGACACCAAAATGCAAAAAACTCAAAACCGTATACTATTATCTTGCAGGTTGGTACCTTTTTTTTCACTTGCATAAATAACTTATTTTTTATGTTTCGAAATTTAATTTAAACTTCTCTGCAGTCTGGGCTTAATGATTTAGACGTTTCGTCAATCTTACCCAAGTAAGATATACCAAAAAGTTTGAGAAAACCATCATCTGCAGAAAGAAGCTATTATTATTATCAATTTCTATCTTATTATTATTTTTTTCGGATATAAATATACAATTATTTGTTTTGAACTACAACATAATAATATGTACCAAGAAAGTAAATATTATGAGCGTCGTGTCACTGCGTCACGTCAGTGGTCGACTGTGTATTACGTCGAGCCATTAAATTTATCAAAAAGTCTCAGAAGAATCATCAGTACTATCCACTCTGCACACTTCTTACTTATAACTTAGTAAGTGAATAACATTTAATAAACATTTAAAACAACAAGACAATGCAACTTGTTAAGCATGTGTTATAATATTCCTGTATCCAAATTGAAAATAACTGGACGCTGGTTTATTACAAATTATTTACAGAGGCGAATCGCGTCTGAATTTATTTTTAAATCGCCAATACTTACTGAGATAATAACATATATATATAATATCTACATAATGTTTAGTACGAATCTTCTCTGGGCATGTGTTTAGTTATAAGGTATGTAGATTTTTAATTTGATGTACTGTTTACACACTTTAAAGTTCATTATGTTAAATATTTCGATAAACATTTGAAGCGAACAAGATAATATTATTATAAACTCTTGCAGCTTCAGCGTGCAGCGAATATCTCATATTATATCAACTGCAGGTGCCTACCCGACCGCGACGGAATGTAATAATTATTCGATGATATTACATTAATATTGTGTATTATCATAAATTATAATAAACAGACAGTCGTAGTGTATAATATTACATTATTACATGAGGTGTCTGTGTGTGTATAAATTGCCCGTGAAATTACTTAATGTGTACCTATGTGTTTATTATATTATTACCGCGATATATTTACGATAGTAAAATAATATTAAAGCTCCTTTTTAATAGTTTATCATCATAGTTATAATAATAATAATACATTTATTAATATCCACACACCTACCTATAAAAAAGACCTACCCATTTTATTATTGGTTCCGGGGAACGCTCGTTCAACGTTTTTTTTTTCGTCTTGATATCCTGCAGTTCTTTTTAAATTGCGATACGTTTTGATATCTTTGAAAGCTGATTGTAAATATATGTACCTACACCCTATATAAAAAATATAATCATAAGAAAGGTTCTAGTATATAATTAATTTATGCGCTATCTATATCAAATAATTTTTTACACCCGACTTCATATGTAGAAATGGGCCCTCAATGAAAATATCTAGTTCCGCCTATGATCACGTTAAAATATGGACGAATAATACATTTATTGGATATTAAGTAATTTTTTTAAAATATTAATAATATATTATAGGTAAATAATACCATAAAATATAGGTACATTTTATGAACGCATAAACGCATATAGTATAATTATTATTATTCAAATTATATCAAGAGACGTGGGAAAATATCCATAATATTATTTAGTAATTACTAATTACTAATGTAATTGGACGATAACAACTTATGTATATAATATTATGAATTTAATAACAAAGTAACAAGTATTTCGGCCCCTAAGAGTAACAATTTTTCGTTTCAAATATTACAGGTATATCGGTACCTAGTAAATGTTGTACATCGCAGATGTGTTTAAAAAACACAAGAATATTAATATTATTGTAGGTACATCGCAGATCGGATTCGACACGTAATAGCCAATATATAGGTATACTATATATGCGAAATAATACGGTTTTAGCGCAGAACGAGTTTGTATAGGTGCGTATCTATAGCTAATAAAAAATATGCAACGACGTGCAGCATTCTATAAATAAAAAATAAAATGTAACAGATTCCTGGCCGTGTCGATTTTAAGTAGAGTAACACGTAATAACAATAATAATAATAATAATATTCTAATGCGTCGCAGCTATGTATACGTGTACCTATATATAATATATTATAATATAGTGTTATATATATCATGTACGTCGTCGGTGTTTGGGTATATGAGTCCGTGTATAATATAATACATATATAATATTGGTAATAACTGTAATTATGTTTACGCATTCGTAGGAAGAAATTATATATTTCCCAGGTTACATACTTACATATATATATATTATACATAATACATATATTGTAATATTATGTTGTATGTACTCACATTATACACATATAGCGTATATATAGAATGTGAAGCGTTTTGCGTTTACGATGTGTACCCGCGAATCGGTGATTAAAAAATATAAAAATTCTACTGTATTCTGCATTTTAAAACCGTTTCGAATGCAGTCCTTCCGAGCAACTACGTCTACATATTATATAGGACTGAGACGGCGCCTACGTGTCATTAATGCTCTTATATATATATATATATATATATAGATACGCATTTAAACAGCTAGTATAATAATCTGTTATAAAAAATTGAAAATACAAAATACGAATTGCGCAGTAGCGGAGCAATATAATTTGCTCCTGGCCATAATAATAATATCAAACGCGTACCTGTAATATAATATGATACACGTCCTGCAGTGCACGGATATCGCGAAAGGCATACGCCGCCTGGAATGTTCTCTATTTTTCCGTGATTTCTGCTGTGTCGTGTTCGTATATCATGTTTGTCGTACATGTTTTATGTCGTATAATATATACTGCAGTATAATAGTGGCGTATCCAAAGTTCGACCACGAACATTGGGGGAGAGGCGATTAATATTTTGCAATATATGACTATATTAACTATTCAAGTTTAATATACGGAATTAAGGAGAGCTTCCCTTCCACAACGCAAATTAATGAACTTTATGATTTTTTTTTTTTTTTTTGAAAGTTATGTTTTTTTTTTTTTGCTGATTTTATCATTTTATAATTATAGATACAAATTATATACAATATTATAAATACACATAAAATAAAAAAAAACCTATTCAACACTTCCTGTTGGGGAGTGGGGTGGATATACCTTGCTCCCCTCTAACATATTCCACTTGTTTTTCCGTTTGTATGGGTTTATTTTTTGTTTCATTACCCGCAACAGTATAATGCCAAGTAAGCTTTAAGTTGTTCATTTCGTGATTTTACTGATGAAACAAAGGAGAATTAGTACATTTTTAGATCTCTAGACTAATGAATTTTCACAGAAACCATACACGTGTAAACTATAAACTTATTTGGAACTTAATAATTGCATTGGTGCAGTGCCGTACCCAGGATTTGTTTTCGGGGGGGGCTTAAACATACTTAACTTTATAGGAAAATAGGAAATAATTTAAAACATATAATATATACACATAGTTTTTAATGTATTATGCATTCATTATTAAATTGTCACAATTTAAAATCTAAACGCCTTTCCTTTTTAGACGCAAACATATTTAAAATAGCATCTGTGTCAATTTGTATGTCTCTGTGGATATTCATAAGAGCTAATCCGTTTAATCTTGCCTCACCGGTAGAGTTTCTTAAATAGGTCTTGATTCTTTTTAAAGAAGAAAAACTTCTTTCAACCGATGCCGTTGATACAGGCAAAATAGCAAGAAGTTTTAATAAAATATTTATATGTGGGAATAAATAAAAATTTATATTATAGGTAGATACATAATACAATTCATTTTAATTCATACCAATTCTGGTTCTGTAACATGTTCATCTATATTTGTTCTGCTCGCTGAGTTAACAGAAATACTGCCTCTATGTCTATCATTAGTTGCCCCTAAATTCGTACTGACCTAAAAGGTAAAATGTATGTATTTTAGGTATTGGTCTAATGTGTGATATTTCAGTTATTGGTGATGATTAATTTAATATTCATGAGTTTATAAATATATGTATGAATTTAATATTAAATATACTGTATTACTGTATATTTAAGTACCTAACTCACCTGTTCATTGATGCAAATATTTGCAGAAGTAGTTACATTTGAACTAAAGTATGAATACAATGTTTTGGTTTTTTTTCTCTTAGGTTCATTTTCGTTTTCATTCATTTTATAAACTAATAAAACTGACACACTTCACTAAATATAATATAAAGTAAAAACTAAAAAGCAAAAAGCCACAAATTGATGTTGATAATTAATGATAGTAGGTATATTGGAGTATTGCATTATTTTATGATGGTATCACCACGTATCACCACAGATTATATTATAAAACAATTTGTGATATCACGAATAAGATTATTGTTATCAATATATTATCATGGGGCGCGTATAGCGCGGTAACGCGAGCGGAGTTGTATATGATCTAAGGGAGTGAGTAAGACGTGGTGATAAGACTACCGCGTCACCACAACCATAATATACTAAAAGGTCGTCAACATTATTACTATGACATGAACGATAATATGATATTGTTCTGTGATATGAACCCATTACGCATAACGCATTACTAAAAAAATATTTTTCCTGAGATTTCGGGGGGGGCTTAAGCCCAAAAGCCCACCCCCTGGATACGGCACTGCATTGGTGATACATGCACTCGGCTACTCTGCACTTTTTGTTTCACGAATCACAAATGTAGGGTTATCATACATTTATATAATGATGGGCTCTGCAACGATTCTGATCGAACCTCGATGAATTAAGTGCTAGCTGTATCCTAGTTGGGTCCAAATTAAGATTCCTATTCATACTAGTTGGATACTGGATTTCCGAATTGCCAAAATCGTATCATACTAATACCGGAGATGTTAACATAAATTGACTAGATTTATAAATTCAACAACAATATAATATTTAGACTTACTTAACTCTTTTAATTTCATTCATGTACCCTTCATTATATTGCGTAGTAGTTTTTCACGATTTTTACTAACATAAAACTATAGAAGGTACTTGTAAACTACTGAAAATAATAAAACATGTGAACCGTCCACTGTCTATACTCTATAATATCAAAAGATGCGATTATTCCCAAGCCACTTCAAATGTTTTTAATGTTTTAATATTTATTTACCATACTATTACCTATATAATATATACTGAAAATAATATATCTTTGACTGGTTTTATCGGTCTCGGATAAACTATATACATACATATAGTATGTATATTTGTATACATGGTTTTTGTTATTTAGGAGGTCTCGGTAATAGCATTATAGCATTATATCATTATAAACCTACGAATAATAGCATTTGATAATTGCGAAGGAATCCGCGCCGACGAAAGAGCCGGTACGCGACTTGTGCGTTGTTGTTTCGGCGCAAACCGTCGGCCGAAAACACGAACCAACGACGCAGATAAAATGACGATGATGATGATGATGATGATGATGATGATGATAATAATAATAACGTTGACGGAGATGATGATAATAATATAATCGTCGGCAGCCGGGGCCGCCGTCGTCGCAGTTCATATAGTCATCTCCCGTTATACCTATATATAGGTATATATTATACCTATATGTATATACCTATATATTATATATTATGCGGTCATTTTTTTTTCATTCTCGCTAGACGCACGCGCAAACCGCGTGTCCGTCCGACGTCAATATCCGCCCCGTCACGTATACATAATATACGCGCTTACGGGTTGTGTTTGTATTTTATACATACTCACACACACAAATATAAATACCAATATGTTGTATTATTACAGTGTGTGTGTGTGTATGACTTCGGATTAGAAGACGAAGAAGACGATGATGACGATGATCGTCATGATGATGATGGCAATTGGCCGCGATATCCGTACACGCACGTCCGTGACCTTCACCGTCAAGGTCATTCACCGCGGGTACTTACTGTACGCGGGGCCGAGTCGCAGCCACCACCGCCGTCCGATGCTGTACCACATTATATTATTATTATTATACATTTATACACAATATATCATAATATTACGATCGTCGTTATCACAATAGTAAGTATATTGTATAAATGTGTATATTGTATATTTATGTACCATACTTACACGATGCCTAACCCTTTTTTTACGACCCGTTTCTATATATAGCCTATCATCATTGACTTATCCTCCGCGGCGTTCACGCATCCTGCTCATCCTGCCACGCATCTATATTTAATATATAATATTATACACCTTTTATATACATTATGTACTCGCGAGAGATGTATCTTGCCCGCTGTCGTTATAAGGATTTAATATTATATTATATTACAGGCGAGCTGTATATTATTCATTTTTATTCAAGCCCGACAAGAGGCTATTACTATAGTGTATTACTGTATTGTAATATCATAGTATACGTACCAGCTATGATAAGCGTGTGGTGTAACAAAAAAATAAATCACCGAATTATACGTCTCCGACTTTTATCCGGAGAGTACCTACGACTGACAAGCGTTATTATTAGATATAATTGTAATTTCTGTTTTCGGTAATAATTATTACTACATTATCTATACGCGCGTTTATGACGTATGATACAATATAATATATTATTATAGGAATGTTTTGTTCTATATACAACCGAGTGGTACCTAGGTACCTATAGCTTTGTATGTCATTAATAGCAAACATGTTATTTTATCTCGTAATTATGTTTGTTTGCGTATATGTACAGTGTAGGTAGGTACTGTTATTCGATTTGTGAAGCGTTTATTATTATTATATAATTCTTCACTCATGAAGTATATAAAACTAGCTGCTGTGTATTAGGTTAGAAGATTTAAATTTCGGACGCTCATATAAATATCTGTGGATTTACGTTAAACATTTTTTTTTAAATCCAGTAATAACAACTTACGAGGAATCTTATTGTATTACATTTCCAAATCATAGCCACGAAAAGGTATTAAACTATTTAAAAATCCTGAACTACAAAAGAATTTGCATTTTTTCACTTGTTTTGACGAATTTTGACCTCTCATAGTAGGTCCAACTAGATTCAATTTTATGACAGAAATTCCTCTCAAAGTTGAAAATCGTAGCATTTTTAGCTACTACATTTATCGTATATGCATAGGTAAATTGTTGTAAAATCAATACATTCATCGCTCCGCTCTGAATCTAAAACACGTAAAACAATAGTGGTGGGTGTATAGCATTTTGGATAGACCATTTCTATGGTTGGGTTACTTGGCTCATGAAAGTGTAAAGGTGTAGGTATGAAAAAAAACACATCGTTATAAAACAAATGCTTATCGATCTGTGGAATCTGAAATGGCAGAAATGAATGGTACCTAAGAATGGTAGTTGAGGCGTGAGGAGTGTCTCTACCAAGTACCAAATAATTTTAACCCTGATTGTGTCTTTGTAACGACAATAACTTATATTTCATTCGTTATTACTTATTATAATGCCTAGTTATGTACCTATATTGGATTTGATCATAAATTCGATGGATCACTATAATATGGTGGTTAAGTGGTGACTGGTGATTATTTTATTAACTATACGTCGATCTCTATATCATCTATACCTATATATTGATTATGAAATTATTTAAATTTATCAATTATCAAATATCGTTCGAAATTTGCAATTTGTGGACTAACGTAATTGAGTATTGATTAGAATTCAATCTCGAATAAAATAGTGGTGATAACTGATACGATTATGTTGACGACGTCCACCTACTCAACACATCACTGCATATATAATATATATATATGACATAGGTATACGTGCAGTATATTGCTATATAATATATATGTATAAACATTAAACGCACACATATGGCATATATATTTGTGGCACGTGAAATGCAAATTTAACTTGTCAGTCGGCGACCGGCGTGTGTCAGCCATCATGTGACTTGTGTTATAGTACTTACTAAGTGTTATAGTACTTAGCACAGATTTTAACGAGGAACCCCGTTGACCGCACTCATCGCGTTTGTGGGTGCATTATTATTACGATAATAATAATAATAATAAATTACTTATTTTTCACGACTCGGACTCTCAATAAACCGTTGTAATTTTAGTTAATTGACGTTAATTTTTGTTCGATCCGCGCGCACCGTTCAATTATAAGCGTATATCTACCTATAGTATAATATTATAAACTATACTTATACGTGGCTATATATATAGCTATATATATTATATTATTATGCACGATTTTTGCGATCTCATCTCATTTACGATATATAAACCTGTAAACATAATGCGCCTCTATATACGGGACGCGGTTTGACGAGTGAAAAGTCGTGGCGTGTAACGTGCAACAGGTAGGTACATGATAACAATATTATAATATTATACACGTTACGGGTACATCGCGTATGTACATGAACAATACTTTTGCAAGTCGGAACGGTTACCGGCGAGATGACCGCCTTTCGGGTGCCAGGTCGACATCGAACAATCGAACATCCGGGAGAATATTTTCGTGATAATCCGCGAAGTGTCGGCGGCTATGCGCATTATCATTGTGTCCCGTCGTCGGTTTTATATAATATTATAGTATATGTACACAGATACTCAAATTATTCTTATTGTTGACGGCTATTGTATACACGATACGGAACAGTTTTTTTTTGTCCTTGCAATACAAAAAAAAAAAATCCCGATAAATGCGATTAGGATGTTAACATTATATTGACTAGGTATTGTATAGCGACGAGCATCGTCATTATTCTAATACGATACCGTTTAGAAACGGTACTCGCGCATTATAGGTATAGTGTAAAACAAATTTTCCATTTTTCACAATAAATGTTTTTGCATAAAATATGGCTATTGAAATAATATACATGTAAGACAACATTTTTGAAAATGAAAATACCAGTTTATCTGTCAAATTCAAAATCAACGTACTAGTAGACAGTAATTATTTCAAACCAGAATAAATATTATACCTATACTGATGCTATTTATTGACGATGATGTATTGATGTGTCATGTAGGCGATAGAGTATATTCGACGACGGTCAAGAGGAAAGTAATCTTGATTGTCTGGTCTTTTGTATATGAATAACTAATTGGCTATTAATAATTTCCTTATAAAAAACCCATGTTTAAAAAATAGATTTTAACGTTATTATTGATAATACCAATTATTGCTAAATTAACTAATATAAATTGAGATATAATATCATAATATAGAGCGCAGTATAGTATTATTGAGTATGAGATAAATATATTATCATCTTACATTAAGTTAGTGTTATATATTTATAATTCAGAATATTTTATTTTAAAATTAAATCTATAAAACACGACCATTACAATTACTAAATAGTTTTTAGTTTAGCGAATGTTAAATTCAACTTTTGGTAGTATGTAAAAATTTTTTTTTTTGAAAAACACACAAGTTCACCGGGATAATGAGTGTTCACTATTAAAATAATTGCATCCCAGCTCGTCATAGATGAAACGAAAAATATCAATAACGTGCACGACGTGCACGATTGCTTATATAATATTTATGTATAGTGATTATATAGTGCGTTTGATGATGGAAAATAATTAGTATAATCGAATATTGCAATATTATATTAAAATTAAAATATAATATATTATAATTTCGTTGATATGTTAACTTTTTTGGTTATTGTAGATTTTGTATTAGGTATTAGTACAATCCTTAAGTGATTCGTTGGATAATAATAAATTAAAGTCGCATTGTCCGTTTAACAATGAAAAAAAATAAAAATATGTATAGAAGTTTAAATCAAAATTAAATGTATTAGTAATTGAATAGGAATATTATAATATTATGCTATAGTTTATGTCTTTATGCATAAATGGTTATGAAAGTTTAACTGTAAAGTTTAGTAAATGGAAAATATACTTGTGAGTATTTGCAACATATTATATAGTCAGCGAGGAGCATACGAAATCAAATGTAGTAACTACTACCAGTGGCGTCCGAAGGATTTTTCAATGGGGGGGGGGGGGCTTGAAAATTAGTTACAAATTTATTTTTATTTTGTCCAGTCTAATAATTATAGACGTTTATTTGAGGTATTTTAAAATGTTTGTAACTTTTTAACTTTTCTGGTAGAAAAAATGCTCTTATCATAAGCTTCGATGCCCAGTGTATGTTTTTGGAAGCAAATTGGATCTAGTTGGTACTTTTAGGAGTTCGACATTTAATCTGCTCAGTGTTTTTAAAAGTACCTAATTGGAGAAAAAAAAATGAAAACTTATTTAAATTGTTTGGTAACAATAGCTTGGTTTATGGTTATACCGTCCTCACTTGGATTATATTTTATTAATTAAAATTTTTTTTTTATAAATGTCAATAAAAAATTATTTATCCGGTCAAAAAGCTTAAAAATGTAATACGTAAGTTTTTTTATTATAGCTAAAATATTAACGATACATATGCATTTAAAGTTCAAAACAATTTAACCACAGTTGATTTGTAGTTCAAAACTTATAAAATATTAGAATATATGTATAGCTAAGGCTAGACAATTTAATACAAGGTCTTTCATACAAGTAGTTCATACTTTTACCGAAAAATTACAGATAATTTATGAAAATTGGTATGCAAATACAATGTTTTTTCAAAAATGAATTCATTATTCTGCTAAGACATATATGAAATTTACGTCTTACTTATTATAGTTGACAGTTTAAACTTGATTAATATTTTTTTTTTAAAAGAAATAATAATACGGGCAATGGGGGGAGGGCTTCATTATATTTGCATGTACCGATATACAGTTATAATATAATATTATATGCGGTCGGTGGTCTGATGGTAGAGAGGTCGCTCGGTAAGCCTCGGTCCCGCAGAATCAATTTACCAATTTTGGGGAAGTCATTATCGATTCAATTATTGTGACAGTATATATTAATATATCAGACACGATAGTAATACGAAATGATATCGTTTTAAAAATTCACGGTGGTAAAATACAGAAATATTATAATCAATATTAATAAAAAGTATTTCGAAGTCGATATTTGCTAGAAGTAAGTACTTATCTGCAGAGGAGGATCAGGAAACACATTTTTAGCAACGCGCAATATTCGCAACGAAAACGCCATTATTGGCTCGTAAATTGACTACCATATACGTGGTAAAGTGATAAAAAAAAAAACCATTTAATTGCATATTATATACTCTGCAGCAGAGTATACGAAGCTTTTAGGTGACAAGGCAAAATTTCCGATTGCCGTCCGTTTTACATCTCACATCGAATGCATTTCAACAAATGTTAAAGTCTCCGTCTTGTAGTACTCTCGTACTACACTTGTACACTTAATTATTTAATGACGTGCTTCGACGTTTCGTTGTTGAGCTTGAGTGACGATGAGGTTGCACTTAGAAATGAATAAGTATATATTCACAGTATTAATGTTTATTATGTTTAACAAAGTTACAGACTATAACAGTTTATAATTGTAGAAATTTGTGGGCAGAGGTTACGCTCGGTACCCGAGAACTATGTGCAGTTAAGCTAAAGTAAAATAATTCTAACCTAGTGACTACTTAGTTGCTATATTTATATAAATGTATGCCCGTGGCGTGATCTCTAGGGAGCCACGGGATTGGCTTACATGCTTAGAAGTGTTTTACGTAATCAATAAAAAAACAAGTTAATCACGCAGTTTCCATAAATATGAAATTCGCAATAACAGTCAAAAGTACAAGGTACAAGGATTTACTCTGCGTCATGGACACGTTACCTATTTATACATAATTAAAGTAAACCGTGCGTTTACGTAATACGGTTTACTACATGCCTCCCCTGTAAAATTGGAGCCGTAGGTTCCAATCAATAGCATGTCTTGAGGGTTGGGTAGATAGTGTATGCGTGTGATGTTTGTGCTTCTTCTGCGATAGGAGGAGCCGTTGTTTCCGATGTTGCCGGTTCTTCACAATGTATTGTCCCCGTGCTCTGCCTTATTTGTACCATTTCCCTTTGTTCTACAATACGACTTCGTTGTTCATTGCTTTTGATTTGTAAGAGTGCAATTGATATTACAAAAATCACAAAAATTGTCAAATACAATATATAGTTATGTATAATTTGATTACTTTGTAGCTGCGTTACTTTGTATATGTTATTGTTGTGTTCTTGTAGTTGCATATGTGTTTTGGAAATTAAATTTAGATCGCTCATGTGATTGTTAATTACATTCTCGTCTTTCATAGTGTAGAGGTCGAGTGATACATGTTGAAATTCTTGTGGTGTGATAATTGATGTTGGTATAAAATCTGCATAATTGTTCTCGGAATTTGTGCTCGGTAATAACAAATCCCTGGTTGCATATCCCTTACAAGTTTCGTTGATAGAAATGATTCCTACCCCTTCTAATAGGTGCGTGCTTGCTTCTTGGTTGTTTTCGCAGTTTATTATAATAATTTCGCTATCGGTTGCATATAACCATTTATTTCGGTAACTTAGTTTGTGAAAAATGGTAGCTTGCAGTCTTACATGTCGTATATCACAGGTAGTTGGTACCTCTTTAGGGTCTTGCAGTAGTTGTACTTCGCATATTGGTCGTAGATTCCGAGGATGGAGGGATTGGATCTCGGGACATAAAAGGAAACTTCTAGCATGTTTACATTGATTATAGTGAAATTCGTCGTACGCTACATAATGTTCCTTATTTTTACTTATGGCTAAGAACTTATGACTAGGTGCAATATAAACACAGTTAATATTCGTGTGACAATAAGGTTTTGGTATTAAGTGATATAAAATAAAATTATTTTGATAAATTAGTGGTATGGTTAGTATAAACACTATGTTGTTATTAGAATAGTATATCTTAACATCTGACAGTTTTACTATGTCGTTAACCGTTTCAAGAGAAAGTAGGTATGGAAAATCTGTTCCTATAGGTAGGGACAGTCTAATATCTTGGAACTGAGCTAACAAATCCGTCGGTCCTAACAGGTATGGGTGGATTTGCCCTAGTTTTGCTGCCTCAATAATGGATAGTAAAATGTCAGTTTCCGCCATATATTTTGTAAATAACAAGTTCATGTAACCAAAATGTCTGAAGACAAAGTTATTAATTTGTTGTTCCATCGTTATGTTTTTAAGTTCGGTTATCTGTAATTGTAAGTGGTAACTTTCACGACTTTCGTATTCTTGTTTTAATTTAATAACTTTAAGTTGTTCTTTTTCTAATTTAATATCATTTCCTAACAATTTACCAATTCCTAGATCAAAACTTTTTATACAATTAAGATCGCATAACCCATAAAGTGTTTGCTTTTCTCTAATACCGTAAACTCGAAATCAATAACGATAAATTTGTGAGTGTTGTCCCTACAACACGAAAAAAAAACATTTACTTAGTAAAATAATAATAATATTGATAATAATGAAAACAAATTAATAATAATAATCTTAACTATTTACCAATTATCATAGCTATATGTATAATATATTATATATAGATATATATATATACATATAGTCATTCATTGAATGGTTTAATATTGTTTATGTGTATGCGATAATCGCGCCGGCCTTTCTTAATAGTTATGTTTTCATTATTATGAACCATTATAACCTCGTACGGCCCTGACCAATTAAGACATAATGTATTTTTTTTATGTTGTTCTTTTATTAGTACTTTATCACCTACGTGTACATCTACCGGATTCATAGTCTTATCGTAATTACGTTTATTTGATTCTTTTTTGTTAATTAAATTGTTTCGCGCGATCTCATGGGCTTGTTGCATATTACGTTTTAGATCGAAAACATAATGGTCATAGTTATATTGTGGTTCGACTTTTCTCGATAATATTGCCGGAATAGTAGGTTTATGTCCAAAAACAAGTTCGTAAGGAGTGTAATTAGTTGATGTATGAATTGTACTGTTATAGCAGTACATAGCATAACAAAGCAACTGGTCCCATTCATTATCTTTGTCGACAAAACTACGTAGATAAGTTTTTAACGTCTTATGTGATCGCTCTAAAAATCCATTTGTTTGTGGGTGAAAAGGAGTGGTCTGAGATTTTTCAATATCAAGTAATTTACACATTTGTTTAAAAACGTCGGATAAGAAATTCGTTCCACAGTCCGTTAGTATAGATTTCGGTATTCCGTATACACACACGAAACATTCCACAAACGCTTGGGCCACGGTTTGCGCGTCAGTGGCACTTAGTGCTACTGCTAGGGCGTAACGCGTAAGTTCGTCTTGCATAGTCAAAATGAACTGATTACCCAAACTAGTTTGTGGTAAAGGTCCTACTATATCTAAACAGATACGTTCAAACGATTTGGTAACAGTAGTTGTAATTATCATAGGTTGTTTGGTCTTTAAGTTACTTTTGGTTTTCTGGCATATTTCACATCGCGATATGTATTGTTTGACGGTTTTTTTTAAATTTTTCCATTGATAATTTGCTTTTAACCGTTTAACTGTTCTGGAGACCCCGGAATGTCCCCCCAAAGGTGAATTGTGATATTCGTAAATAATTTGCTGTTTTTCGGTTTCGGAGAAATTTTGCTCCTTATAAATATGAACGGTTATGTTTGTCCCTTTAAAAATGAATCTAATCATGGATCGGGTTCGTTCGAAACTAGTCATGGTAGTTACCCCCTCTAGTCTAATGGTCGCACATGTTTCAATGTTATTTTTTATACAGGCTTGTTTCATTGCGTTGAATGCGTTAAAAATCTGTTGTTCTGTTAAAACAGCGGTATGTGTTTCTTTTAATTTGTAAAAAATAATAGTACGTGTTAAATGGTGAATTATCGTAAGGTTTTCGTTCTCGTTAAATGTGGGAAGGTCAATGTTAAATTTCTCTATGATTTTCCTGATCGCCGGATGAATAATTATCATATCATTTGAAATTGGTAGGAACAAATTATTTCGCTCGTCGGCGTCTTTAATACTACCGTCTATATCGATTACTTTAGTGTTAAATATAGGTTTTGTTTCTGCTATAAGAAAATCATCGTATTCAAGGTTAGGCAAGTCGGCAGTTCGTAATACGTGTATTCGTGATAGACAGTCGGCGTTCGCGTTTTCGGACCCTGCCCTATAGATTATTGTATAATCGTATTCCGATAACTGTAATCTCCATCGCATGAGTTGCGACGAAACATCTTTAAGACCGAATAAAAAAGTAAGAGGTCGGTGATCTGTAATTATATTAAATTTACGTCCGTATAGATACGGTCGAAAATATTTCACGGCCCAGATTATGGCTAATAGTTCCTTCTGTATCACGCTGTAGTTAATTTCTGCTTTATTTAATGTACGACTTGCGTATGCAATCGGTTGGTCAGTAGGGATATCTCCCTGAGAAAGTACCGCGCCAATTGCAAATTGGCTCGCGTCAGTGATTAAATTAAACTTCCCCGTCTCCCAATCCGGATAGGTTAGTAATGGTGGGCTTATAAGTTTGTCTTTAAGTTCACAAAACGCCTCTTCACACCTATCAGTCCATGTGAAGGTTACGTCTTTTTTTAGCAAATAAGTTAACGGTTTCGCGATTTTAGCAAAATTATCGACAAAACGCCTGTAGTAATTTAATAGCCCTAGAAAGGATTTAACGTCTTTCGCATTTAATGGTCGTGGATAATTTTTTATACATTGAATCTTGTTTGGGTCCGGCGAGACCCCCGTTTCGCTAATAATATGTCCTAAATAGGCTACCTCTTTCCTAAGGAAATTACATTTTTCAGGATGTAGTTTGAGATTATGTGCCCGTAGTCTATCAAAAACTTGAATTAATTTCTCCTGATGATCTCGGAGACTAGAACCGTGTACCACTATGTCGTCAAGATATGCTGTGCACATCTCTTCTAGACCCATTAAGACTGCTTTCATTGCCCGTGTAAATGTGGCTGGAGCAGAACTCAGCCCAAAAGGCATACGTATATACTCATAATGTCCGGATTTTGTTGAAAACGCGGTTTTATGAATATCACTTTCGTCAATCTTAATTTGGTGATAGCCCGACTTAAGGTCGAGGGTAGAAAAATACTTTGACGACCCTAACGATTCCAAAATTTCAAGTAGGTTGGGTAAGCTATAAGCTTCGTTTTCGGTTATCTCATTCAGTTTCCGAAAATCTACGCAGATTCTAAGTTTTTGTTTCCCATCTGGATCAGTCCCCTTCTTTTTAACTACTACCAATGGAAAGTTAAAAGGAGAAGTAGAATTGCGTATAATATTATTTTGTTTCATGTCAGTAATCTGTTTTTCTATTTCTTGTTGATATGCCCAAGGTAAACGATAAGGTCGGATGTTAATGGGTTTCGCGCAGCGCGGTGTGTTAATTTTGTGCGTCACTACATCGGTTGCGCTTAAATGTTCCCCGTCTAAATGAAATAAATCGGCATATTCTTTAATTAACTCCATTAAATTGTTTTCCTCTTCCTTGTTCAAGTGGTCTGTTTTAATAATTTCCGATAATTGTTTTATTTTATTTCCATTAATATTATTCGTGACTACGCGTATATTTTCGTGATAAGGTTCCCAATTAATGTTTCGTGAAGTCAATTCTTCGATAAGATATGGTTGTTCCGATATATTTATTACGCTACTAATTAATACATTTTCGTTTACCGGACTAACACTGTTTGCGATTATTACGTCGTCATTTAGATCTTGTTTCGCTATAGTTATTTCTTTATGTTGGATATTTTCTGTATTTTTAATTAGCATGACACAGTTACTTCGCGGCGGTATTATTAATGATTGATTACATTCGCGTTCGGGTATTAATAAAAGTTCCTGATTCATGTCTAAGATCGCTTTATTTTCTTTAAGAAAAGTACGGCCAATTATGCCACTCCCGGGTATCGGAAAGTCGTCTTTTACAATGTCAAATTTAGTAATGAAAGTTTCGTCTTTAATTTGAATAGGAATTACAATTGAGCCTAACGTTTTGATAGTTATAGCGTTAATACCCTTGATATTTTTCTTATCGGTCTCATTTACGATTACATGGTCCATTAGAGCTGATAACTTAATTATGTTCATCTCTGCCCCTGAGTCTATTAAAAAACGTTGATTACCTGCTGCGAAATTGCTTGCGTTAATAATAATGTGTTCCTCGTCCATTTGTGTAGTTATTACTCGAACATTTTTTAATTCGCCTACCGTTTTATTTTGGTTATCGCCCTGCTCTTGTTGTTGTTTTTTCTTATTTTCATTATAGATTCGCTTC